ATTGATTATGTCACTCGATCAATATCAATAGCTAGAGATCTTCACTTTAGAATTCAATTTCACTTTAATAATTGAAGGGAAATAAATTTCAATCAATTATTAGAAGAACAAAAATTTAAGCAGCGAAAATAAGTTTTAAGATAGCTTTTACATACTTATCGTCAGACTAAACCATATTGTAACATGAATAAAGACTATAAATTGATCATAATATAAGTTAATTTTGTCACCAATTTGAACTAAAATAATAACATAGAAGCATAAGAAATATTATAAGATGGGTCTTGAGAAGAAGAAAAAGAACAATAAAGTGAAGGTGTAGAGATATTCAAGGTGCAATAAAAAGTGTCGATGCCACTAACAATCCTTTGTTGTGCTATGAACCATCCCAACCTTCGAAGTGCTCCAAGAGCTTGTGCACGCTTTCACAAAAGAAGTCCTCTCCAACAAAAACATATAAGAATATAAAAAACAATTAAACTTTTATTTTATTTCTTAGTGAATTTTCAAGTGCAACTACACTATTCATAGGTGCGGAGGAGGAAACCAAAGAAAAAATACATGAAAATTATTAAAGGTTTGCCTGCTAAAGGTGGGAAGTCAAAAAGGCGTTTTATTGAAGGGGGAAATGAAGGAATTCTTTTAAAATGGTGGGTTCAGTTTAGGATTCAAAACATAAATGGTGGTGGAGTTAAAAGGCCATGATAAATGGTGCTATCAAGGGGGAGAATGAGATGGGAGTGGGGTCCAAACCTATACACAAAATGATTCATAAGAATTACAATTGCTCATAAATTAACTTGACTTAATGATGGGGACATCGGCAAGAGGTTTCGACGCTTTTATCAAAGGTGACACAGGAGATCGATGGCCATGATGGAGAGTCTTTACTTTTGATGTATTTTATGTATTAGCATTTTATGTATTAATCATGATATTTCAGTTTTTTCGTTTTTGCCCTTATGGGTAGTTGGTCGCTATTGTAGCCCAAGAGGCATTCTAGTATTTTGTTTTCTTTGTCATTTTAGAGGCCTATATATATGGCAATCTTCTTATGTCTGGGATGATTATTGATGAATGAAAAGTTATCTTGGTGATCTCTTTATGAGTTCCAAAACTCCTCTAGATCTCTTTGTGAGTTCCAAAACTCCTCTAGATCTCTTTGTGAGTTCTTCAGGAGAAAGCTCTTAGATCTCTTTGTGAGTTCTAGTGAATAAAGTGTGAGGTTTGTGATTCTTGATTTCCTTTTCTTCTCCACCAATCTCTCTCTCTCTCTCTCTCTCTCTCTCTCTCCCCCCCCCCTTCACCTCAAGAGAAGACAACCACAACCCATTGGCTTGGAAAACCCGACCCCCACCTTCTTGCCGCCGCCCCTTTGAGCCCAAGCCGCCGGTTGCCGTCCTACCACCGGCCGGCCACCTTGCCACCGACCCCCTTTCATCCGCCTGCCACCCCTCTCTTCTTCTAGCCATCATTTTGAAATTCAAATTTCGAATTTCAAATTCTTTCCAAATTGGGAAATCCAAATTAGGAAAGTTTTTTATGTAGAATCCAATTTTGAATTAAATCAAATTGGATTTAATAATTTTCTTTCCTAGTCATCATTACGTATTTGGAAACCCCCTCCCTTCCTCCACAATCTCCTCCTCCTCCTTGATGCCGCCGGCCCCTTAATGGGGTTTCCATTGAATGCTCATTCAATGCCCCTCCCCCTTATTTGAAATCTGAAATTGATCTCAAATAACTTTCCCTCCAATTTCACTTAAACTGAAATTGATTTCAGTTTTCTTCCTAAACCTCTCTCCCGTTCCCATATGGCCGGCCCCTTTAATGGGCCTTTCTCTCTCCCCAAATTACAATTAAAGCTCCACTAATTCTTCCCCAATTCCCTCCCCATTGCCGCCCCCTCCTCCCTTGGATTGATTTGAAGCTACCATTCAAATCCCTCCTCCAATTTCAGAAAATCTGAAACTATTTCAGATTTTTTTTGCAATTTCTCTTGGCCTCACCATCCTAGCCGACCCCTCCTCTTCTCCTTGCCTCCGTCGTTGCTCCTTCATCCATCGAAAAGGATGCATGGCGGATCCGGAAGTTGAGCACGGTTTCGCATACAACGAGCAAAGGGAGATCGACATCTTTCTCTCCCCCTTCTACGAACCGGATTGGGAATACGACATCACTGTTGAACACTACGTCAATCGGATCGTGTATTCCCTTGCCCACACCATTGAGCTTCAACGACCAAGGACCCTGTGGTCCCTCACCGGAAGATACGTGCCACCTCCACCTCCGGCTTCCTTCCCAACAACGACGTTCCTCGGCTCGTCTGTCCTAGTGATTACTTCATTTCTAGTGTGGAAGATCTTTCTCCGCTCAACCTAGATTCGTAGGGAAGAGAGTAGATCCTCAAAGGTGAACAACTCATTATTAACTTTTTGGATTTGTGTTACAAGCTTTTACATTACTTCACCTTGTATTTGATTGAAAGTGTCTTGGTTAATCTTCATGCAATTCTTTGCCTAAGCAAGTGGAAGACTGAGAATTCTTGTAACCTACTTTGAATTGACACATCATTTTATAAAGGTTAAACTTCTATTAAATTCTCTTGATAATCTTGTGTAACTCCAAGCATGTATCATATCACTTAAATTCATGAAAGAGAAAAAATATTTATGTAACATTTTAGTACCTTACCATACATGAAAACACTTATATATCAATTCTCATAGGTACAGCATGATGGATTATAATTACATTAGGTCTAGAATCTGACACGATAACGGTGATGATGGTTATAGTCATCGTGACACATATCACTTTATCTCTTGTTGCTTGGCTTAATTCGATTCTTCTTATTATTTATGTTGCCATTAATCAAGCATGGATTATGCTATATGTGGATGATAGCAATGAATTTTTTGTTGGGAATCTCACTTAAGTTGTTTATATGGAACAATCTCTTGGGTATTTCGCTCAATGGGAGAATTTATGCAAGCAAGCTTTGGAAGAATCTGAATGGGTTAAATGAAATCCTCTCACTTGGTTTGTCAAACTCTGCTAAATTCTAGATGATGTCAGATAGTAGTACTGCTGATCATTTTATCTTTATTCGACACTCTTTTTCTAGCATGATGATTCTCGTTGTGTATGCCAATAACATTCTTTTCTCATTGGAAGTGACACTTTAGGCATTGTTGAAATAAAGCATTATCTTCAGAAAATATTTGTAACCAAAGATCTAGAGCGCCTAAAGTACTTTATGTTATTGACTTTTCTTACAGTCATATAGGCGTCTCTATCTCAGAAAATGTGCTACAAACCTTATTGATGTAATAGGGCCTTCTTAGGTCTAAGCTTGCTGACTCGTCCATGATGAAATCTTTAAGATGCTTTTAGCTAATATGGTCGATAAGTTTACCAACATCTTTTTCACAAATTATTGTATATCCTTTTTGGTTGTTGTGGTTGTTACGCATATGCAAAATTCAAAGTATTGAAAGGTTGTTTTGAGAATTTTAAATTATATCAAGTAAACTTCTTGGAAATGATTAGCCTATCGAATAAATAGTCATCTAAGAGTTGATCCTTATGCACATGCTGGTTATATTGAATATGTTGAAAATAATAAGTTAAATTCTAAATATATTATCTTGTTCTCAGAAATCTTGTGACTCATAAGGTGTAAAAAGCAAAATAATTTTGGCTAAATATAGTATAGGACATAAGGCCATAGCTGGCTCTATTTGTCAAATAATGTTTGTACTAATTATTTTTTATAGTTTCTTTTACAGAACCTGTAATTTTAAATTGTGATAATCATGTTACCGTCTATATTGCTAGCAATCTACTCTTCTATAAAAAACTAAAAATTTCAAAGTTGATTGCTATTTTATAAAGAACATTGTTCTGTGAAAGAAGATCATCACTCATGTTGCTCATGGAAAACAAGTGGTTGATATCCTTAGCAAGGTTATTTGATCTGGTGGATTTTCATATCAACATAACAAATTGAATCTAGTTGATATATATGCTTGAGTTTACGGGAGAGTATTAATCCAAGAAAATGTCAAAATAGAAAAGTTCTATATATTTAGTGAGGAGTTCATGTATCTTTAGTTATTCCTTAGAACATTGTAGTATTGTACTCCTTTATTAATAGAGGGGTCCTGTATTGAATAATAGACCTAAGAAAGTAATTTCCCCAATAACAGAATGGATAAATAATATTAATGTTTTAATTTAAAAGTGAATGTTGAATGCTTTAGATCTTCTCCTGATGGAATTCCAAGTTGCATTGTAACAGCAGAGTAGATGTATTAGTAGAAAACATGTCTATTGCAACAAAGGATTTCAATCTTGCATTTCATTATTTTGTGCTCTTTCATGAACTAGTGCATAAATCAGTTAGTGTTCCATTTGATTTTTTTTTTTCCCTACCGTAAGGAAAATCATAAGAAACTTTGAACGTTCTGATCTTCACTTGAGCCTTGATTAAAAGATTTTATGATAATTTTTATTGCAAAATTGAAGAAATCCCAGTAAAACAATTAATTTCCTTTCCACTTAAAAAGAAGTAGAGAAAATTTGGAGAATTTAGAAGGAGATTGTCATTAGAGAAGTAACTGAACATTCCGTGCTGTATGGCAAGTGGTTTTGTAATTTGTATAACTGATAGATCAATCTCGTGAAAAGCATGAAATTTAGACAAAAGGTTGGATGATGTGATAATGTAAATAAATGGTATGTGATTTATTGAATCAGAATTTATATTTTGTTTTGATGGAACTAAACATGGAGCTGAGTCTTTTGATTGTTTCCATTTCTTCACATTTGCAGAAGAGGCATGCCTACTCATATGTCCGAGCTATTTTTGTTATGTTCAAATTATTATGATGAATCGCTTTAAAAAAGTAAATGAATAATTCAATATAACTCACTAGCATCACTTATTTTTGACATTTGAATTTAAGTAGTCATTGACACTATAAATTTATTTGTAGGGACCTTTCATACAACCAGTTCAATGGTTCAATTCCTGAGAGCCTTGGCCAGTTGAAATCATTGCGGATATTGTAAGATAACTTTTTGTCATCATGCTATTTTCATTATATAATAGACATATTGAGCTGATTAGCAGTAAATATCATTGATTTGGCTTGTAGGAATCTCAATGGAAACTTGCTCTCAGGAAGAGTTCCAGCCAACCTTGGGGGAAGACCTCTCCATGGAGCCAGCTTCAAGTAAGTTATCTTATCGTTAGCATGACTTGTGCTTTCGCAGTGATGACCACATTTGATTGCTAAGATTATTTTTATTAGGAGAAACATTGATGTTGAGTTTAAACTGGCTTCATGCCTAAAGGCTTAAGAAACAACAGATACATCCAATAGGAAAGTGATAGATAATAAAATTGAACCAATAAGTCTTAGTAAAGAACACTTGATCTTGTGCCTGCTGTTCTTGTGAAAACTCCTCAAGTAAAAGAAGCTAAATTTTTAAATATTGAGGCGCCTTTTGGTGTAATAGTTGAAATTTCATTAAAAAAACTATGCAATTAAGTGTGCTCATCTAATTCTGGGATGGGTGACCTATTGGGAAGTTACACCAACAGGACAAAAACCATGAGGCCCTTAGGCCAAAGCGGATAATATTTTGATAGTTAAGAGTTTGAATTGTTACAAATGATATCAGAGCAATACACCAATCGGAAGATGAGAACTAAGTGTCATACAAGACAAAGTGCTACACTATGGGAGCCATCTCTTGAACCCTGAATGAGATAAAGTGCTACGTGGCGGGAGCCATCACTTGAACTTGTAGAAGTTACCTCTGCCTAGTGGATGATTATAGGATAATGATACTGACGAGGACACCAATTATTTATGTGGGAGAGATTGTGAAACCCCTTAAGTGAAATAAGTTAAACTCTTAAACATCGAGGTGCCTTTTGGTGTAATGGTTGGAATTTCATTAAAAAATTCTGCAGTTAAGCATGCTCATCCTGGAGCAATTTTGGGATGGGTGACCTAATGGGATGTTACACCAACAGAGCAAAACCGTGAGGCCCTTTGACCAAAATAGATAATATCTTGATAGTTAATAGTTTGAGTTGTTACACAGGGCAAAATCGTGAGGCTTTTAGGCCAAAACGAATAATATTTGATAGTTAAAAGTTTGAGCTGTTACAGTTCTCAAGTCTTTTGTGTTTTCACAAGTGATCATCATCTTCACCGTCTTCAAGGCCACTCCAGAAAATGATGATTTCAAGACACTTCTCCAAACATTAACTTGTCATTAAGCCAACTGCTTGCGACATAGAGCTCATGAATCTTAATCATGGAAATATTATCTGGTTGCCAATATAATTCTCTTCCCAGCCCTTGTGTTGGCGGAGTCTCATGCACTAGTTGGTGGAGTCTCATGCACTAGTTATGCCTTTTTTTATATGACTGATCGTCCAGCTTGCATGCCAACATTGACTATGCACTTGAAGGTGAATCTTTCTAAAATGGCTTTTCTAGTCTTGAGTACATAGTCTATAATCTATATAGATAGCTTGTCGAGACCTTTCTTTTTCTCTGAGTTAGCAAAACATATATTACTTGCAAACCAAATTTTGATGTGTTGAGCGAGAACCACATGTGAAAACTCTTCTTCTTTCGACTCCATCGAACTAATTGAATTTGGTTTTTATTTGCACGAAGAGTCGCGTCTCTTTGTGTGGGGTTCAACTAATTCGCTTGATCACTCGCGTTCGTCCTACTCGCACATTCTTACATTTGCTCGCTCGCTCGCATGCGCTCACGTTTGCTCCTATTGCTCGCGTACTTCAGCTTGGCTATTTCGTTCGCCAGCCTATTAATTAGCTATACTGACCTGTTCGACTGACTGTCACAGTTTACCTAACTCGTAGATAAAATCATCCAACTTGGATAGGAAATAAATACAATCTATAAGTTTGTTGAGAGGAGTATTACCTAGTTAACAAACAATTGAAATGGAGAAATAATAAAATAGTGGGTGGAAGGAATATCAGTTGTCACTTGTCAAGTAATAGATTTCAACAACATCCACACCTCTATCAACCTTCTTTCTTGAGCTTAGGTCCTTCAAGACACATTGGGAGGGAAAAAATGTTATATAACAATAATGAGTTATTATAAAGCAGTGAATATATAATAGGCTTACAATAAATTTAAGGACATCCAAAACACCTGAGAGGGATTTGAAAGGATGTACGTTGCCCTTTTTAGAGGTGGCAGGGAATTATCAAGAACAATGATATATAATAGAAAATTCATATGGATAGATGAAAGTAGTCGGTGATTACTGATAGTTGAAAATTCATATGATAACAGATAGTTGAATCTAGATACGAGGACTTACTGGTAGAGATAACTGCAATGGACCTGAAGGAAATGAGATCATGAGATGCTAGGAGAGATGTTTGAGATTGTTGAAGCAAACGTTTATAGTATCCGTGAAAGATAATTATAGATCCAATGGAGGAAGCATAAGCAGTGGACAGGGTTGGACTGGTTGTGGAGGCATTCTAAGTAGTGGAGGGATAATGGAATCTCCTCTAGCAATATTAGGAGGATGATTAATACAGCTGTAATGAGGGCGGGGAAAAAATATTATGGATAAAAAACACAATTGCCACCCATCTGGCACCCATGTCTGCACCTCCCTTGACCAGCCCTAGAACAACAACCAAGGCTATTTAGTTTAGAGTAGAAAGTTAAGGAGTGGAGAGCTTTGAGTTTTTGACAAGACTAGGGAGGGAGTGGCACCATTGTTTAAGATCTTGGATCCATCTATTAATTTGGATTGCACACGCTATGAATCAAGGCAAAGATAAAATTGGCAGCAAGGAATTCTTAGTTTTGCTTTTGACAAATAGTTAGATCAAAATGGAAGGGTGGTCCTGAAGTAACTCGTCCCATATTTTTTCAGTAAGGTATAACGCTCGATCAACATGACATTTTGTTGAAGAGGGAAAAAAAAATGTGTAAACATGAGATATTACTTTCTTGAAAGCAAGGTATGAAATTACATAATATGGTATTAATGAGTTTTGCCTAAAGTTGTCTTGAGTTGTAAGTCTTAAAATTAATTATTAAATTAATAAAAAAGATGAAATAATAAATAATGTGCTAACATCAAAGTAAGATTATAAAATGTCGAAGTAAGATCATTAAAAAGTTATAAAAGGTTACAAGCTACCACTCCTAATTCAACATAAATCATTATGGATTCAAAAGTTTCCTCTGCTCACAACTTAGAGGGCTTTCACTAGAATTATCATTATAAATGATTTCTTTCTCTTATCTTGCTTCCTCAGCTGTGTGAACATCCTCCTAATTGTCCTCATTATCTTCAATCTCAATCCTCTTCTTTGCTCAAATAAGTAAACATCAATAAGAAAATTAATTAAATTTTAAAACAATGGCTATATTGATGGTTCTAACTTCTATTGCATAAAATTTGGGTGCAGGTGTGAGGGTTCTGTGATGTGCAGCTGTGAGTTTGAGGTCGTACTGTCTTTTAAAAGTTTGGTTTGGTTTGGTTTATGTGTGTATGTATATATGTATATATAAAATTTTATATACCCTAAATTTTGATGCTTATGCCTCTTCAAAATGGTGTCTCGATTGAGGCATACGCTAATTCTAACAAATGTGAGACATAGGGTTTTTTTTTTTTTTTTTAATTATGATGAGATGTGCTTCTAATTGCACGATTTTAAACAATGCTTAAAAGTATTGTAGTGAAGAAAATCTCACATCTAATTGGTAGCTTAAAACACTATAGTTGAGGCAATCTGGAGGAGATGCATCAAGATATCGATCTTTATTGCAAGGATCAAGAAGGAAGTAAAACACTCTCAACCATAGAAGATAATTTGTACTATTAAATTTTATATTGGTATTGATGGTGGAGGGCTTCAACTCATTGAGAGAAGCGTGAGAAGATATGACTGAGAGAGATATTGCCAAAAGTAATTTCAAATAATTGAAACTAGGTAATTCATGGAGTGATCATGGCTTAAGGTAACGGGTGAGCCACACTAAGTACCAGATAGTTGTGTTGGCATTACAGGAATGACAAATAGATAGTAAGTGGTTAGGTAATGTGCAGGTGGTTAACATGTCAGCTTGCATGTTTATGGGCTGGACGCAAGCGAGCTGGGTTGCATGGCGAGTGCCATGCATGATTTATGAGAGCATATTCTATAGTAGTGGGAGCATGGATGAGCAAGTTGCTTTCTTCATAAACCTCATGCATTGCTTTCGTCATAAACCTCATGTTTTTCTTAGGGAAGTTGCAGTTTTACAGGGAATGCAGGTCTCTGCGACATTCCCGGACTACCAACATGTGGGCCTCATCTATCAATAGGTGCTAAGGTTGGCATCGCACTTGGATCTCTCATTGCATTTCTCTTGTTTCTGGTTTGTTTAGCTTGCTGGTGGAAACGAAGGCAAAACATTCTTAGAATACAGAAAATTGCTGCTTGTAAGTTCACTAAACAAATCGAACTATTGATATGTCCCTTAACTATATATATGTGATAAAATGGCCACTCTTGCAGCAAGAGAAGCTTCGTATGCCAAGGCAAGGACGAACTTCGGGCGGGACGTGCAAATGACAAAGCATTCACCGCCGCAGCGTACTCATGACCAGTCTCGCATTGCTACTGAGGATAGCCCAGCTTTACTCTCTTGATTGAGGCGAATTATTAGGTCCGGTCACCTGACAGAGAAATATATTTGGATTTCTCTCTATCTACAGTAAAGCGCAGTTACTGTAGCAGCTCCGTTTTGACTGGAGACAGAGAGAAATCCGGATGTATGTCTCTATCAGGTGACCGGACCTAATAATTTTCCCTTGATTGGGATGTTTATTTGTTGATTATTACGCCAATATATTTGCTTTATCCCCTTCTGTAACTGTGCATTTTGTAGAGTATAATAACTGGTGCTTTTTGGGTCATCCTTTTTTCTGTTGTAGAAGGCATTTAGAGCGAGGAAAAGCGGGCAGCAGTGTTACTTGATTTTTACCTGCTTTCTCAAAATTTGTGTAGAATACAGATTCTTGATAATGAGATATATGAATAGATCCTTATAGGAACTGCGCAGGTAATAGATTGTGAATACTGATAATACATTTGAGGATATAATTAAGATTTCATTTAGGACAATTTTTTAATTGTTTTTTAAAGTAAATTTTTTTATTAAAAAATTATTTTAAGAAGCAGTAAGAAAGTCATTCCAATGAAGCTTCTAAATGAAGAGTATTCTTAGTGATTTTTTTATGATTTGGCTTGTTACATGAGTCTGAATTTCGTATTTTCAGATTTGAAAGTAAGTATAAATATCTTCATGGACGAAGTAAATAAATAAATAATTAATATTTTAATAATATATTAATATTTATTTATTTAAGTATTTTATTACTAACTAATTTTATAATCATAATTTTTATAGGTAATTTTTTAATTAATTATTTATATTTCAATTTATATTAATTAGATTAATTATATTATATTTTTATTAAGAAAATAATAGAATTAAATTATTTTCTTTCCGATTGCTTTGGAAGCTTAGGGTTGTTCTACTTTTCATCTCTCCATTTCGTCGTTGCTGTTCGACTCCTTGCTTCGCGTGAGGTGGAGTTTTGCTTGAGTCGCTTCTTCGGCTCCTTCTTCGCTACTGTTCGACTTCGCTGCAACGTTTTGCTTATTTGGCCCCTTTGACGACGTTCCCTTCCCATCGGATCGAAAGTCACGACATTTCGACAACGTTCTTCCTGTTGGATCTGAAGTAACGACGGGAGCTCGCTCGCTGTGAAGGTAACTATCTTTCTCCCTTGCGCGCGCTTCTTGGGCCAAATCCCGTCAATCCGCCGAACTCCAGGATCTAGTAAATCCGGGATTTATGGCTAAAGGAGGGAAACGGAGGATTTATTATGCCGTGAGATTCACCGGCTGCTCAAATCCCGTTTGTCAGGTTTTAGTATAAATCCTGTTGCCAAACAGCCCTTAGGGGCTGTTTGGAAACAAGTGGGATTTAACTTTAGTGGGATTTAGTAAATCCTGTAAATCCAGATTTAGTAAATCCGAATTGGGTTAAATCCTGAAAACTGCTTGGTATGCAATATGTTAAATCCTGTTAAATCCTGAGAAACTGTTTGGTAACATATTTCCGGATTTATGGCAGTTAGGGATTTAAAATTTAAACATATATTTATGAGATAAATATCATTGCATAACATCATTAAACAAACTTGAGTTCTCACAAAATGATCGAAATTTCAATAAAGATCAAATTACAAAGCAATATTGCCCAAAATGACAAATTAAGCATTTAATTAGAGAATGCATTTAATATGTAAATGTCTTCATAGCTAATTCTCGGGAGCCAAATTTTTTCACGATGATCGATTTCTTTGACTTGCAATCTGAAATAAAGAAATGAATGAATTAGTACAAAAGTTAATGTAGTTAGTGAAACATTACAGAAATTAAAATTCTTACCCGAGCATTCCATAAGTCAATGGTGATATTGTGCCTAATAGCTTCACCTTGAATTCTTTCTCCTATTGTCGCGTGTAAGTTGGGATCGTCCTCTGGCATATCAACTTCCACAGTTTCAGCATCATGTTGCATTTCTGTTTGTGACATATTGAAGTATAGATCATGTCCATGGTATCGACCAATGAAGTTATGCATAACCGCACAAGCAATGACAATATATGCTTGAACACTAATAGGGAACTGTCGCATGTGCGTCAGAACCTGAAACTGTTCCTTCCAAATCCCAAAAGTTCGTTCTACCACATTGCGTAGCTGTGCATGACAGTGATTGAATAACTCTTGCTCGGCAGCATATCGCCTTGTCGTTCTTTCACGATAATCTGCTAAATGATATCGATATCCGCGAAATGGGGCAATTAGTCTATCAGTATTTGCATAACCAGAATCAACCAAAAAATATTTGTTGCGGGGTACTTCAAACTGCCCTTGTTCTACTGCCCATCTAAGCACACGCATGTCAGCAGCAGATCCCTCCCACCCAGAAGCTACATATACGAACTGTCGATCAAACGACACCGTAGCCATTACATTCTGTGATGTAAATCCCTTTCGATTACAATATCGATTTTGTAAATTAGTACTTATGACAGCTGGAATATGTGTACCGTCTATCGCTCCCACTGCATTTTTGAAGAATGGGTGAAATTGTTCATTTGCACGTACGAATGGATGACAATCAACATCAGCTGAAGGTAAACTTATAAATTCATCCAACAAAGACACAATTGCCTTCAGAACCTGATTGAAGTACCTGCTAACTGTTTCTAATGAATGTTGAAAAAATTCGCATAATTGTCGGTAGCTGTGTGCATGGGCAACACCACGTAAGAAAATGCCAATTTGTTCCGCCGCTAGCATATTCTTTGTGTCAGATAGGTGACCACGGCTAACAAGCAAGTCTCTTAAGCTTATGAAAGCATCTGGTGGTAATCTGAAGCACTGGTAAGCTCGCCTGGATGACCAGATAGGACGTCAAGAACATATTGATGGCCGGTATATGATCTATCAAACATACGCCGTCGCACTTGAGTTTCATCATCAGTGTTCTCAACTTCTTCTATAATAGCTGGGAAAAGCTCTGCAATGGCATTAGTCACCTGTATATGCAAATCAATACTCTCGCAAAGTCTGTTTTGAATTTCACGGTCCAGGTTGTTAGCCATTGTATAGATTCACTGTATAGAGTAACATAGTGCGGCATATGAGATAGTGTTCAGTTCGGATAGGGAAGAAAATCTGGACAAAACCAATATGGGGTAGTATTTAATACAGAAGATAGAGTACAACAATGCAAACTGAAAAGATACTATTTAATAGAAGATGGCATCCAACAGATTTCATATTATATTGATTTTCTCAAATAAACCAAACCTCATTAATGAAAACTGAAATTGACAGCTAACATATTTCTGGAATAAAAACTAAATTGATTAAGCAGCACAACAATTCCAAAAACATGTTTTTGATTAAAAGCTAGACAATCAAGAAATGTAGAAATCAAACTACTAACACAGTAAAATAAAACAAAGTTGGGAATGGAATCATAGCCATATTCTGGAACCATTATACCGTAGGTGGTTTTCAATCATATATTCAATCCACTTATGCAACACTTCACCTTCCCATGTCATTAATATGGTTTTGTTATCTTTATTCTCTTTTAACACATCTTGTAGAAGTAACAACGCATGTGTCGTTAAGTTCTCCACCGAACATAGTTTCTGTAAACATTCGGCCATACTGTTGGGGTCATTCCTTTCAACGGTTTCTTTTAGTACAAAAGAATTTTTATTGGCCTCAACCAATAAATTGTTAAGGTTGTCTATTGGGCCTTTTCTCCTAGGTCGCCTTGTACCTTTTGCAGCACCATCACTATATCTTTTAGAACCTATTGTTTGACTATCAATAGGTTCTGAGTTTGGAGTTAAACCATCAGTTGCCTCAGGCATGTTGCTTGTTGGAGTTTCTCGCATTCAAAGGTTACACCATTAAGCAGTGAGGAAAGTCATCCTTCGAAGCTGGGTGCGGTTTCATCTTGTTCTAAATTTACTGTTGGAGATTTTGTCTATTGCTTCTAGCGGCAATTAACCCCACTGCAGATATTATCTTGCGGCAATGTTTTTCAAAGTATTGTATTGGTGGAATGGATTGCCGACGATATCGTGAAAGCTTTTGGTGTTACCTTTAGTACCAATAAAAAGAAAGTTAGAAATGAGTCATCCAATGTATGGTTAATCAAAGAGTAGAAATTGCATAATTACATATTTACCTGAACAATTTCCTCCAAAGCTCTTTCTGTAGCAATTGGTATGCTGTAAATTTCCCTTCATCCCGCCCCAACCACTTCGGAATTTGTTAGTTGATATAGTGTAGGAAATCAGGCTTTCATATTTTTTGAATCTAATAGACCGAAGAATCTGTGTAACTATGTACCCGAACGTCTATTCAAGACGGTTAACAGATTCAGGCCATGCTCCTTCCTTAAGTTACCATTGCATCATATATTTCCAGTGTACGAATTGTTCAATATAGGAACGCTCGGCTAGCACACAAACGTTGGGCTCTTTTCTTTCGGGGGGGGGGGCACCTAGCCAATCCTAGACGTGCTTTATAGGATTGCTGGAGATAGCTTCATCTACATGACGTTGGGAGCTAGAGCCAACCCTTTCCCTTTAAGAAACCTCTTCATTTCTATAAAAAATTAAGGCAACATGTGGTAAGATGATAATTCATTTGACCCCGCACTTTCAATGTAATTTTATAGAGTATATTCATGAGTAATACCCTTTCGTCCTTGAAAAACTCTCCAATCAAGACGGGAACCATAATTTTTGAGATACATGGCATTAGATGACTCGTTGTCGCTCACGGAATCATAAATATCTTTGTCAAATCCGGTGTAAACGGAATGCTTCATTCTGATTTTAATTTGCTTAACAACCGTACTACCAATCAATTATTTGTACAACAACAACATCAAGCCTTTATCCCACTACGTGGGGTCGGCTACATGAATCCTTTTTCTCCATTGTGTCCTATTAACCAATCAATTATTTGTAGCGTTAAAAAAATTGGACTTACAGATGTATGAACTACGGCAACTTCATTTAACTGAAACGAAATTTGCTTAACAAATTAATCTAGTATGGAAATAGTACAATACCAAAAGTTATGCAGATTTTTATACATCAGTGAGAAAATTTTAAAGAAAAAACACATGAAAAATTTTATTCTATCTACACATTGAAGGAAAAAAAAAATTTAAGCTCTCACCTAAATAAAAATCAGAGAAAGAAAAAATCGGAGAAAGGAAAAATCAGGGCAAAAAAAATAAACACCTAGTCAAGATGCTCTCACCTACCAAAAATCAGAGACAGGAAAAATCTGTTTAGCGCGTGTCTGAGGAAGCAGAGCAACAGTTCGGGGAAGAAGAAAATAAATGGGAGAGGTTTCAGTCGAAGCAACAGCCTGGGGAAGAAGAAGAAATATGGGAGAGGATGAGTCGGAGCAACGCTATGGGGAAGAAGAAGAAAAATCGGAGAGGTCGAGGCGACGGGGTAGAGCGATGGCTTCGTTCCTTTCGGCAAATAAGGGCAACGGTAGAGCTTGACGACACGGGCGCCGCGGGTAAGTTTTCCGCCTAACTTTAAATCCCGTTAAATCCACCGAACTGAGGGATTTAGTAAATCCGGGATTTAAGCCGTAAATCCGTAAATCCGGGATTTACCGAATCCCGGGATTTAACGCGCGCACAAAAATTGTTTGGCTGGATTTAGCTTAAATCCGACTTAAATCCCGCTGTAAATCCGATACCAAACAGCCCCTTAAAGTTGTTATTTCACAGACCCTTCTTACCTTTGAGATGCCCTCCTTAATTAGAATTGAGGATTTTAATTATATAATTGATTCTGCTGAAAGTTAAGCATAGATAACTATTATCATTACCTTTATTTGAACTACTTGGAGTAGTTTAAACTGAGTAGAGCTACAAAATAATTAGTAAAAAGATATTTTTTAGACCAGTGAGTTAATTACTGCCTCTTGAAACAGGAGATTTGTTTGTCTAGTGTTATTATTAAATTGAGATAGCTAGTGCCTGATGGCGTTTTAACTATTCGTATCATGACTTGGTCTTCAAACTTGTTCAGTTCGATTGTAATAATTCAAATTAAAAGAAGATAACAGAGAACCCCATAGAAGATTCTTGTGCTCCAAATCTCTTTGTTAAATTTTAAAGATGCCTAGGAGTCTTTGATCAGCAGACTGGTCTTGCCAAAACCTTCCCAACTCCCACTGTTTGAAGAATCTCTTAAGAAATCAAGAACATGCTCAAAGTTTTCCTTTCGCCGTTGCCAGAAAACCCTTTGGCACTTTAGCTTGTCTGAAACCTGCCGCTGTACCTTTTTGGATGATGACGACATGAGAGCCGTGGACCTTAGCACAATGGCTGAAACTAGGGGTGTAAACGAGTCGAGCCGAGCTCGAGTCACCTCTAGCTTGAGCTTGATTAATGAATTGAGTTCAAGCTCGAGCTCTATTCAACGAGTTCAAGCCCGCTCATGAGCTGGCTTATTTATTTATAAAGAGAGAAAATGATTATGATTTAAATAATTATTATAATAAAATGATAAATATAATGAGAAATTATTTTAAAAAAATAATAAACAATCACTTAATATAAAGAAATGAATATAATTTTCAAACATTTTTAACAATATTTTTTAAATGAGCCGACTTGCGAGCTAACGAGTATAGTCGAGGCTGGCTCAAGCTTGGCTAGTTAGCTCATCAAGCTCGGCTCACGAGCCATTTATTGAACCGAGCCCGAGCTGGCTTGACTCACTTACACTCCTAGTTGAAACTGATAATGGCTAGTGTCGATTGGATTTTATTCACTTTAGCATGACCAATTTTTAAGTTAGTTTAAGCTTGAGCGCGCAATCTCCGTTAATTAAGTGAACAATGACATGATAAGGCAACGATGTTGGAATTTGCATGCCACCATTAGAATCTTTGATCAAATGATGGAAAATATCTTAAATTTATGGCTATGTTGCAATCCTATGTTCTTTCAAAGTGTAGGGATTTCTTTTTTTAAGAATGACATGGGGTTTTTTCATTTTAATCTATCAAAAATGGACTCCATCTTTGAATAAATTTGTGTGACTTTTCCTCACCCCATACGGATCATTCCATAACCAATAACAAGCAATAGTTAGAGCATTACACCCACAATAATTTATTCATTCTAATGCCCTTTTGCATACTTATCTTTAGCTAGTTGCATTGCCATTTGAAATAGTTAGAGCATGAGCATGATTTGCATATTTATTCAACAATTATCACGCAACGGGTGTACGTCAACCGAGCCGGTAAGTTTCTATGTAAGTGAGTTGAATTTTGAGCTCATGCCTATAATCAAGTCGACTCAGTTTGACTCGACTTGAAAGCTTATCGTGCTACTCAATTTAAAAAAATAATATTTTAAACTTTCTTTTAATATTACATTATATTATATGAAAAAGGAAACAAATCCCAGCCAGCCCTAAGATCTTTTGCAATACTTGTGCGTGAGAAGGATTGGCGAAGGCTAGGGTGGCGAGAGCCTCTTCTTCATGTGTTTGGACTAGGACTGCGAGGTATCTCTCCTTCCCGTCTCCGACAATTCAGACGAATGCGACTCTGAGGCTCTTATTCTTGTTCGCTGGCTTACACTTGTAGGGTCTTGCTAGATTTCACATTTTGACAGTCAGTTTCTATGATAGGAGATAAGTTTGCACACTCCTTTTTTGGCATTTAATATGATTTTTGAACATTTTGAGGCAGAGAATCGTTTATAAGCAAAAGAAAACCAGTTTGTTCCATTTGAATAAGTACAGAAGGTACTCTCAAAAGAAAACCTGTTTATTTATTCATTTTTAGTGCCACTTGTGGTATTAAATATGCTTTACAAATATGTTTTTGCCCAATTCCTATTAATGTTAATTCAGGTTTTTTATTTTTCCTTCTTAATCCTTTCATATATGATCTCACTAATACAAAAATGTAGATCAGTTTGGTTAGGTTTTGTTCTGTTTAATTCAATTTTATATAGGTTTAATTATTCCATAGAAATGATTATTCCACTATTAATATATGTAAGAAGTAAATTCAATCAATATGAGTTTTCCACTATTAATAATATTAGTAAAACATCGAGTATCATGATATAATTTTGCGTGTTTTTTTGTTAGCGGTATTTGCAAGAAGTCTATTGTCCTCTCTAGTATTTGGATTTACTTGCATAATCTGATCATTGGTAAATATTGATTCTTCAATCCTTTAAATCGAGCTTTTGACATTTTTTTTGCATTTATGTCGTATTCCAGCTTAAATTTTGTTTTTGTATGTTGCTTCACCCATCTTCTCTTGAATTTTTGGACCTATGTTGTGCTAGAAATTATATTTGATCGAATAAATCATCTTCTCTTTGCTAGCTTTTAAGTCATATTTATAACAAAGTTTGTTTCTGTATCTCCATTTAGCTGCATATTCCTGATTTGTTTTTTGATGCTGGAGGTTTGTCCATTAGTCCAGCTTGAGCACTCTTTACCATCATCTGTTCTTTCTTCAAACTAGTTTGTTTTACACCCAAATAGGTAACCTCATTTATCTTACTTCTTGCTTTTGCTTATAATAATTTACTGCTATGCAAACAATTAATAGTAATTTGTTTCTAGTAATGTGTTTTTGTGATTACCTTCTAAGAAAATACTTTTAGAAGTTGAGGTTAATATTTTATTTTTCTTTTACTTATAATCTTTCTATAGAACGGCCAAATTGAGAGAATTAATGATCAACTTCAATCTTATGTTGGAAGTGAACAGTGAACAATGTTTTAAATGAAAATAATACATTCAATGATAATAATGGCTTTGATGATGAGAATGGAGGGGATAATGAAAATCAAGAAAATGATGTTGAAGAAGTTGATGAGGACAATGAGATTGAAAACATTATAGGTAATTTAACTTTTCTATTCAGACACATTGCGCAACAACGTCATAACATTAGCCACAAAAACTATCAGAGTATCAGTGACATGTATTCCACGACAACGTCATAACATTAGCCACAAAAATAATCCATTGTTTCCATTTAGAGAAATTGGGGAGCAAGAACACATATTTGGAGTTAAGCAAACGTGCAGAAAGCACAATAAATGGCCTGGAAAGCCTCCGCACATGTGCATTTTTAGTGCATGAAACTGCCTGAATTCCCTTAGGTAAGTTCTTCTTAGAGAGTTGGCATCATTGCATTATTTTCTAGAGGTGAACTGAACAAGGCCTTTGCCAACTTTCAGAATTTACTTCCTTGTCACACTTATGGTTTAGCTAACTACCTGAGATAACATTTTTATAAATTGGTGCTTATTTATAAGTTTCTTTTAGTTAACCAAACAAAAGACTCTTTGTCAATTATGGGGGCCTTCATGCCTTCATGTAAGGTATAGGCCCATACTTCCATTGTCTTTCTCAACAATATAGTTGATAGATTTGGGTTGTCTTCGACTTCACTTAAAATTTGACTTAGTAAGCACAAGCTATTTATCACAAAAAATGCATCAAAATGCAGTAGATCACATAAATGTGCATAAAACAAGAAATTGATCTCTGGGAAAAGCATTATAGTAATCTAATCCATAAAAAATCCAAGCCAACGGACCTTTGCAGTGAGCATGTGAGATTGGAAGATCTATTTAACTAAAGCTGAGTTTTTCTAGAGTAGGATTAGTTTCCCTTTTCTGTGATAGATTGGCACCCTCTATGTCGGGGAAGTCTCAGCGTAGTCCTCTTCTATGTAATTAGAAAACGGAAGGGATGGGAATCGCAGAGCCACGGTGATGTGGATCGTCACTTTCGTCGTATCTAAGCAGATCATCATAAATTGTATATTGTAGAAGAAACACTTATGATGGACGGAGAACTTACTATCGGAACTAAATCCTCATGAACTTCTTCACAAACCTCACCTCTGGTCCCTGTCAGTGCGATCTCCAGTCATGAACAAGGGGGATGTGGGACGAGGATTCTGGAAAGATGAGGATTTCGGATTTTAAATTTATTAATATTATTTGATATTAATCAAACAAAATGTCTATATAAAAAAATAAATTACTCTTTAGTAATTATTATTAATTAATTAAATGTTTATATTAATTTAAAGTTTAAACAAAATTTTATTCTTATTTAATGTAATTAAATAGAATCTATTGTGTTTTAAATAATTTTATAGATAACTAATTAATAATTAATTATGATATTAGTTATGCTAATTATAATTCAATTAACATGATTAGAATTGATAAGAATAACTAAATTTATTCATATTCAATCAAATAAATTATAGATTCATATTTTTTTTTTCTGAATTGGGTTAAATTTCAAAATATTCTCCCAATTATTGGTATATGGTAATTTTAGTCTTAGAATATAATGTTGCTCCAATTTAATACTTTAACTATACAGAATTGATCCAAAATGTTCCTTTTGGGACTAAATTTGGATCTATTATGTTAAGTCAAGGGACTTAACGAAAGCTATTTCTTTAAAATAGTTGGGGATCATTTTAGTCTTTCCCAAAGAGTCAGGGGATTATTTTGATCCTTATCTCAATTCTTATATAGAAATTGATTAAAACACAATTCCTACCTCAATCCATCCCTTTCTCTCCTGTTACCGGGTTGCTGCACCCTCTAGTTCGGCATCTTTTCTTATATCAGGCACATGGTTCTCTACTTGCACCTTTTCTTTCTCATTCTCTGCATCTTTTTGTTCTCTGTTACCTACAAAATTTTCAAGTTTTGCATTGTTTCGTGTCCAGTTTATTTTATCTGAAACCTTCATAATTCGTACTATGTGGCTTCAAATTCATTTCCCTGAAATAGTACCTCTACTTGAAGGGAGGCTTTTAATAAGATTAACATTTTGATCTAACCTTAATATCATACTAAATAAGTTTTACAAAAGTGCCTGAATATGTCAAATGGATATTCTACTATTGGGTGCTATTTTTATGTTCAAGAGTTGTTGCAAAGGGAGATGCCAAAAGTAATGTATACCTACATAAGGTGCATACAATTGTGAAGTCATAAAATATCCTGAAGACTCGATTTTCCAACATTCTAATTAAAAGATCTGTTCATCACTATCTTTCTACTTGTCGTTTAGTTTGTTCAATTGTATAAGATGAAGCATCTGTAGTTTCATTTTATTTTCTGCTCTTCAAGGGTATTCCTTCGAACTAAAAGAGAGTTGGAATCACTGATCTTGCTTTGGTTTTAGTTTCAGTTAGTTTTTTTTTTTACACAGCAGAAAGAAAAAAGAATCCGTTGCTTGTGTAGTTATTGAAACCATTTTATGGGGCCTCATCATATCTGTGGATGTGTGGTATGTAATAGTAAGGGATGAATATTATTATCCACGTATGCTGCTTTCTGCCTAACAGGAAGTTTTTCTCTGGGAGCGGTGGTTGTTGAATTATGGATGGAGGGCTACCCAACTTTAAAAGATGGAACATAATCTATCCTATCTACATCAATTCGAAGAAGACTATAGCTGAAGGACGGAGGATCAATGCTTCCAAGGCATGTGAAAATCCCACATGTATTGAGATCGGTGACTGTTGCAAACACCTCAAAATTCCCTGTGCTATTGAGGTACATCAACGTTCATCTTCTATTTATGTATTCTGGAACTTTCTTTTTTTTATCCTTCCTGTTTGAAATATGATTAAATTAGAATTTGACTTTTAACCAGACATAATGGCGAAAAAGGATTTATATAGTTGACCCCACATAGTGGAACTTTTATTTGGTCCGGTCACCTGACGTAGCTCTACGTTCGGACGCCAGTAAAATAGTGCCACGTGTTCTCACTATTTACTGTGCGGCCCGACAACCCCGACTCGGAACGGAGACGGGATTGCTATGTTCACGTGTTGCTAGGTATTGCTCGGTATTGGTCGATTTTGCTCGGCAATAACAAGAAATACCATTCTGTGAAGACCAATACCGAGCAATACCGAGTTTTTCTCGGTATTGGTCTTTACATAGTGATATTTTCATTATTGTCAAGCAATACCGAGCAATACCTAGAGCAATACCGAGCAATACGCGAACATAGCAATCCCGGGTCAAGTCGTCGGGCCGCGCGGTATTGAGTAAGACCGCGTGGCGACATGTTATTGGCGTCCGAACGTTGAGCTACATCAGGTCACCTGACCTAATAATTATTCCACATAGTGAGACATAAGCTTGATGTTGTTGTTGCCTGTTTGAAATATGATTGGTTTCATTTGCAGCTTGATAAAGCATACCCTCGAGATTTCATGCAGATAGGTCGAGTAAGGGTTTTACTGAAGAGGGAAGATGGGTCTCTCTACAACCCTGCAATTAGTTCAAGTAAGAGTTGGGAACCCTAATTTTATTCATGTTAGATGAAAATGCTCTTATTTTTGCTAATGGAAACGTTATGTTGAGATGCTTGTTTGAATGCAAATAGTTTAAGAATTAAAACTCAATTGCATTTGTCATGAGCAAGTTTGTCCATTGAAGAAATTATGTTTAACCTTAGGCAGGGCTACTAAGAGTTAGGATTTTGTAGTGCAACTAATATGATGTGTAGTATGATTTTTTGAGCATTCATTGTTCACAAGTTTTCAATTAATCCAAAGATTCATTTTCTTTAAATGGAAACACGCAGTAGTGGGCTTTAAGCCCAATTGATATTGAAATGATCTTAAAAAATTTAAAATTGCAATATTCGGAAAGCAAAAAAAAATCAAAAAATAGATGTCTCGTATGTAACTTTTTGGCCAAAATAAGGGTGTACTAAATTAGTAAATAATAAAATATATAGGCTAACAAACAAGTGTGAAATTATCAAAGTAGAGCAAAATTATGCCTCACATCATTACAAGTAGATGACTTCCCCCAAATTAGGTAATCAATTTGTATTGCATTTGAATGAATTACACATCCATTTACACTCACAAGATTGAAAACTAGAAGTGAAATTTTATTTAGGACTAAAAGCTGTGAATTACATGTCTCGTATCACTATTTATAGATTGCTTGTTGCTTAGGTTAAGGAGGTAAGGTTAGTATAAAATCTGTCTTAATTCAGTTTAAAACAATCCCAAGGTTAATTTTGAATTTCTCAAAAGATTTGAACTCAATCTTGTTCAAATTCAAGCCTAAAGCAATCCCTTGTTCACTCTTACTACAGTCCCATATGTTCACATGAATTCCCTCATATCAATTGGACACCGTACGAACTATATAGACCAATAACATCAAGCCTTTGTCCCACTACGTGGGATCATCTATATTAATCCTTCTTTCACTTGGATATATAATATTTTAAAGACTTCTCTCGAAACAGGTAGTATGCGCATGTAAAATATTATCAGCATTATCATCAACACAATCATCTTAATCCCAACCATTTGATTTGGGTTTCAAGAATATTTCCTTTTTTATGCTTTAATTCATTAGCTATTTTGTTTCCCTTTTGACGTGTAGAATTTTTCTTTTACAGAGAAGCAACTGATGCTTCAGGTGGCTGAGTTCGTGCCTCGACATCCTGGGAGAGTGAAGAAGCAGGAGCCTGCAAGTACAGCTTCTGCGTCTGGAACTTCAAAATCAGGAAAGGGTGGAAGAAAGAAGAAATGAACATTGAATGTTTGAAATCTAACATTGTCTTGGTGAATGCTAAATCATGTTTTTATGGGGCATCAAACCCTAAATTTTCTCATATTCCTTGCTTGCATGTTTCTCCCCCTTTGGGACTTCATAATCATAGCAAATAGATTACTTCTTTTAGAAATTGACCTAAATTTTCCTTACCAGACTGGCATAATATTTAAAACGTTGGGGCGAGGAGAGAGGAGCGCCAAATCTTTTAATAGGAAAAGCTGGAATTTGTGTGCTAGTCTTTTGGTCGAGTTGTCCTTAGCGTAACACAAATTTGAGTTACATTAAATATGCGGTTATAACTTTTTGGGGGAAGTAAAGAAAGCTTTGTTAGGTTTTGCATGAACTCTCCTTTCACCGCTAGCTGTTGACGCCAAGCTTTCCATTTTTTTTATTGGCTCTTCATATTCATTCTTCTTGGTTAGTTTTGTTGTTGTCACAGGCTATGGCCGGTTGACCTCATACCATTCTTGGTTAGTTTTATTGGCTCCTTCACCTTCTCATCATTCATCAACAACAACATCAAGCCTTTGTCCCACTACGTGCGGTCGGTTACATGAATCCTTTTTCGTCATTATTTCCTGTTAAAAGTCAATTTCTCATTTAAATCTAATAAAGAAATATTATTTCTATTATTTTCTAATCAAATTTTTTTTGGTCTACATCTTTCTTTCTTAGCGTAAGTCAAGTTTAATACTTCAACTTTCCTAACCGGTTCATTAGAAGGCCTCTGTTTAATGTGACCAAACGATTTAAGGCGACTCTCTCTAATCTTATCTTCCACTGGAGCTATTCCAACTTTTTCACTTATATGCTCATTTTGTATCATATCTCTAAAGGGTAAAGTCACTCATCTACCTAAACATCCTCATCACCTTCTCATCATTCGTTATCCCATCATCCGCAAAGATCAATGGCTTCTTCTTTGAATGATCTTTCCAGCTTCCAATCCCTCTTTTCCACTCCTGGTACCATCTTTCCTCAATGCATCCTCCCTATCGAGCTAAGAGTCTCTTCTTTTTTTCGCAACATTTCAGACAAGATCTCCTCTGCAAACGAAGCGCATAGTGACGCTCGTGATTGGGATCTCTCCTTAGTCGGATATGTTATGGAGAAGTGAAATTTTTCTATGGATCTCAGCTTGCTACTGCTAAATGGTTGTGGAATCTTCTCAAAGGTACCTTAGATTTACTCACTATATCTTCTTATGGATTTTCTTATTTCATTTCTCATGTTTAAAAAGATTAATACTTTGCGTGCTTTTAAATAATTTAAAGAGCCACATACATTTAAGGGTCTGTGGATCTCAGCTTGCTACAAGTTATCTTTTGAAGCTAGTCTCCCTTAAATAAAATTCATCTAGCTCTTGCCATAATCTCATAATTACTTCCATTAATGGTTATTCTTGTATGCCTCAATGGGCTTAAACCAGTTCACTCTCGAAAGGGAAAAGTAAGCCTGGGTTCATTTAGGGCTAGTTTTTTTGCTATTTTTTAAGATAACTTTAGAGTGTATAATATATAATTTCTTAATTTACAATTTTTTTGTAAAAAGTTATCCCAAATAAAGTTTAAATTTAGGCTTCATTTAAAATAATTTTTTCCCACTAATTTTTAGTTTTTACATGAATTTTGTGTGTTAAAAAGTAGGGGTGTCAAAGGTGTCTATATTTGACAATACCTGAAAATTCAACTCGAAAATTTTGGGTTTGGGTTGGCACGAATCTGGTTGGATTTGGGTTAGGGTTTTGATCCGTTTCAAAATTCAGGTCGGGTTTGGGTTGAATCGGAAACTTAGAAATGACCCGGCTGCTTGCTCTGCTTGCGTCGCATCGACGTGTATATCTGTGATGTCGTTGTTGTTGTCATGCCTCACCGCTGCAGTGCGTCGTCGATGCTGCGTCTCACCGCCTACTGTCGGTCGCCAGAGTTACGCGATTTCTGCAGCTGCCGAAATAGAAGCGGTTGGGTTCAGGTTCAAAAATCTAACTCGTTTGTAAAAACATGTAGAGTTCGAATAGTGCCGAGTTAGTTCCATGTTCGACTCGAACATGACCCGTGACCCGAAATTGACACCCCTATTAGAAAGTTATTTTAAAAAATAATGAGAAAACTATTCCAAATGAAACCTGAATGAAATGCTAATAGTTATGTGATTCTATTTCGAGTAGCATTACTCTAAAAAATTCTATAGGCTCTCTCTCGCCCTCTTCTCTTCAACAGTCTAAACCCATTTATTGATATAATTTAAATATCGAGTAAACTCTTTATTAATTCAATATTTACTCTTGTAATTATTATAACTTAAATTCTTTTTTAATTTAATTTTAATTGTTGATATAACTTCAAACATTATTTGTTTAATTTTAATAAATTTTATTAATTATCAATTTTTTTATAATTAATATTAGCCTCCAATCTTTAAAATTTCATGAAAATAATAATTTTGCCTTCCTTATATTATTGAATTTGTGTACTGTAGTCATCGATCTCACTCAAATATTCATATTAATCTCCATAATATTTATTTTAGGCTTAAATTTCTAATTTATTTGACGAGTAGCTTTACACTTTGTCCTGAGAGAAGCTACCTACGAACGAAGAAAAGTAGGCGGCGAGTTCATTCCCATTGGTCCCCACACGTGCTACTGCCTCATTGGTGTCTTTTACTCCGCCACCATCTTTGACCAGTTCCGGATTCTCCGCCGTCTCGTACCAAATTAACAGTACGGACTTTTAAAAAAATATAAATTTAGGCAAATTAAGTCAGACAAGATAATAGCTTAAGCTCCAAACCAACAGATCAAGACGAGTTATATACGGATATATCTTGCGAGGCAAATTTTTTGAATATTTACTTATTATGCAACCCGACTTGATAATAGATGAATGGATTAAGCTTAAGCTCATGTTCAATCCAAGATTATTTTCATTTGAATTCAATCAACTGGACTCTGACCCGTTTAATAAACGGATTAAAAAATACATATTTGAACCCTAGCCGCTAGCAACTCAAATGAATGGAATCAAATATGATAATCCATTTTTATTTTAAAAAAATTAATGATTTTTTATCAATAGTTTTTATATTAATAAATAAAAATAAGGCAATCATATCAATAAATAAAAAAATTTAAGAAAAAATAATTTAAATGTGTCATTTCGAGTTGAAAATTGGGATTAGCGAGTCAACTCGAATTTGACCCATTTAATAAAAGGGTAAAATTTTAAGTCCTAAACCCAACCCATTTAATAAAAGATTCAATTCGAACCTAAATTAATTTCTTAGGTCGGGTTGGGTCAAGTTGGTTGGTTTGATTTGTTTTTTTATTTTTATTTTTACTTCCTTAGTTTTGGCTACTAATAAACAAGTTTTGAGCTCGAATATTACATATGTGATGTATTTAAATTTACATTTATTTCACTCAAAAAATCTCAAAAAAATATTTTACTTTTTCACATCACTTCTAAATTTGATAGATTATTATTAATATTATTTCTTATTTTAATTTTATGATAAAAAATAAATTTTGTATTATGATAGTCCTATGAAAATAATTGAGTTTTTTGAACCAAAAAAATTCATTTTTTTTAAATTATTTCGTACAATAATTTTTTAATTATTTTTATAAATAGGATTTAGTGGTAATACACTAATACTAACATAATAATTCCGCAACAATAATAAACATTAGCCGAAGAACAATAAATATATGTCGGTTGAACCGGTCGGTCTGATTCGATTTTTAAAACCTGGCTTACCACTTTATTTCATTCTATTTACATATTTAATACCCTAAACTTTAATATTATATTCTTAATACTTATATAAAATTTTAATATCAAATTTAACAATCCTATATTTCATTCTTACGATCCATAATATCCTATAAATTTTAATATTTTATTTTATGTACTTATATTTATTATATAGATGATAGACATATAATATTAAAATTTTAGATATTAGATATATAAATAGTTTGAAATAAAGTGGTATATATACAAAACCTTTTTATTTTTGTGTGCGCTGCTCTCTCTCTTCCACTTCTTCTTTCACGGTCTGCGTTTGGGAAACGGGGTGGGGGAGGGCGCCGCTTCATTTGACGCGTCGTAGTGGTTGGTCATGTAATGAATGGTGACGTAAGCCCTACTCAAGTGTTGCAGAACAACTGAAGTACGGATTGGCATGCGTGCTTTGTAATTTGTGTATAAGATTTTCACGCTGAACTCTTTTTTGCGATTCATGTTGTGGAATTGTGATTTGGTTTAATTTTACGTGATGTAAAAATTATGCTATTAAATATTTATTTATTTATTTATTTTGGTTAACGATTATGGAAGGTCTCAAAATTTTTGATATTTTTCTCAAACGTAATGTTAATGTTCCCCTTAGTCCCCCAAAAAAAAATAAAAAATAATTATAAGAGAGGTTTATTTAAATAATTTGACCCTCTAAGCCTCTTACTTTGTCCTCTTTTGCCTTAACCACTGGTATCACATCACACTCACACAGCTCTCAAAAATTTCAAAAATATTCTTACAATTAAAATTTGTTCTAGGGGCAATTGATCAACTAATCAGGCAGGTCGAATCCCGCCAGGGAGCACTGCCCCTTGGACTCCTGACATATCTACAAAGCGTATATAACGATTAAGGATATGAACAAATAGGTACTCCACATCACAGAATAATTATTATTTGCTTACACTAGGCGTCGTCCGGAGGCGAATCAAAGTACTCCACATCACTTTTATCGTGTACCAGCTGACGTGGCGCGGTGGCGTGCTCTGATTCACCTTTGGACGATCTGGTGTCCGCACAGAATAATTTCTCCTTGTTTGAAGCTGTATTTTAGTTTTTTATTTTTTGGATTATAATTTTTTCATTATATGAATGAAGCTCGGTTATGCTCTGAATTTTCTCAAAAAAAACATTCAAGCATACTAATTTCTAAATATCTTAAAAAAGTGTAAGATATTCTGATTTAAAATATAAGATTTTTTTTTCTGTAGAATTTTGATTTCTAGACATAAATTTATTATTGATAATGACTCCAAATTAAGAGCTTTAAAAACGAGAAATAAATTATTTTAAGAAAGTTAAAAATAAAGTTCCACCTCAAGGTGAGATTGTAACCATAGAATTCATAAAATCATATGAATATTAAATATTTTGCTAAAAACAATTCAGTGGGAGTGTACGACGTTGGTGATAAAAAACTTAAGAATATCTCTCTAATTTCAAACATTATGATGTACAAAAGTATAAATTTAAATTTCATATATCGCTTACATTAATTTTATATTTTGCACTCCTTATTAATAAAATAAATAAAAAAATTATGCCAAAATATTCTTACTAAAGAATAATCAGCGACTTTCAAATTCTTGATTTATTTTAAAGTAAATATAATAATTAAATAAATTATAATATACACATCTTTAAAAAAAATAAAATTATAATATATAATACCAACTCACGAATCATAAAGCAAATCTAAACGCCTTGGCACATTTACATTATTAAATTGCTCGAACCGTGAAACGCGTGAGCATCGTTCACGTTCCCGCCCGGAATTCGAAAGAAAATTAAAAATAGCAAATAAAAAACGAAATTTCCGCCCGCATGCCCATTTAGCGCGGGCTCACGCATAAAAATCACACATCAATCTCCATAATCGCCGCCCCGCGAAAAACGCCGACACCTCTGCTGCTCCTCTTTTCCCCCGACCTTCCCTCATTCTCTCTCTTCTCTCTCTGTTTAATAAATTCAATTTTGTCGCTTCCTATTAAAATTTTGCTAATTTACAACGAAATTAATTTAATGTGTGTGATTTTATAAAGTGTCGGCTACATATTTTTTAAATTTAATTATAAGAAATAAATATAATTTACAGCCAGAAAATAAACTTTATTAAAGCATGCAAACTTTAATTAAGAAAAATCATTAAAGACAAATTATTTTTTTAATTTAATAATTTTAGTATAATCCAGCACATTTTACACAAAAAATACAGCAAAGCGGACACCCAACTAAATTTATGCATTGTATTCTTATTAAACTTGTACGTATAATTATTTAAATGCTGATAAATATAAAATTTAAATAGATATCTATAATATATTGTATTATTTTGTTAATATTTGAAATTAACAAATAGAAAAATTAATAATTAAAAATTCTATATATCTGAGTATCAATATCCGTTAAGTGACTCTTGTTGATAGTAGTTTTTATTTACCTACATAAAAATTAAAATAAATAGTAAATAAAATTTATATATTTAATATTATTAATTTTCTCTGAGTGCAAGTTCTCCAAATTAATAAAAAAAACTATTAACAATAAATTCTAGGAATGAATACTACTTGGCCCTTAAAATTAAAGAACATCTATTTTTTAATATAATTAAAATATAAAACAGTCATTTGATTTACTTTTTCAGTTTTTTTATTTAAGTATTTATTTTAATATTTATTCAAATCCAACAGCAGCCGTCGTTGTGGACCTGGACGGCAGCCGGAGCCTCGTCCACGTGTCGTGATCTCCGTAACGGATCTCGATGAACAAGTCGTCAACACGACTCACTACCATGTTCGGCGGCTTCCACCGAAACCCAACAAAACCATAATTTCTTTATATCTTATCGCGAGATGTTACTGTATCGCAAGAGAAATTGACAGCGAAACGTTAAGGAAATTTTATACGAAGTAAAATAACAGCTTCAATAAATGAAAAGGAGGATAACAACGCTGAGGTTGGGATCTATGGGAACAGATCTTTGAAGCTTTCCGCGAAAAAAAAGAGTTAAATTATTCACAATAACTTCGGTAATTCTTCTCTAAAACATTAAAGAAAACGAAGCACGCCTTTCTATTTTTTTTTTCAATTAAATAGAAGACAACATTAATTGATCATAGTTTAGAAGATGCTGGCGGTTGAATGCAAAGGGGAAATCATGTTTCCGCCGGGGGAGGAAGGTTCAGATCGATTTCAATTCCGAGGCCAATCCTCGCCGGCGGGGACGACAAAGGTTGAGCATCGACGACGGAGGAGGAATCCGAATCGCTCTGCACGCCGGAATGAGCTGGTGCGTGGAAATTCCGAGCCATCATCGGCGATTCAAGCGTCAGCAGGCCATGATGTTGCCCTCCGGCGACCGCCACTGTGGCGGCCAGGTTACCCATCATATTTGATCTGACAAACGGATCGAAGAAAAGGAACGGCGGGGCCAGCGCCGTAGCATTCGCCGGAAATCGCTGGAAGGGGAATCGCAGCCCGCCGCGGTTGATCTGATCAAGATCGAGATGAGGAAGCGGCGTTGCTAAAGGCGGCAAGGTAGATGCGGCATCCCGGCTTGACGATTCCACGGTGCTGCTCTGGCTGCTAGGGCTCAAATAAGGCTCTGCGCAGGGGAAATTGGTCTTTGCCTTTGATCCCCTAAACTCCCTGGCGGCCGCGTCATAAGCCCTAGCGGCCTCTTCCGCCGTATCGAACGTACCCAGCCACACCCTGCTCTTCTTCCCCGGATCCCTAATTTCCGCCGCGTACCTCCCCCACGGCCTCTTCCTCACCCCTCGAAAGTGGACCGCCTTCGCCACATCACCGCCGGCAATCCTTCCGCTGCCAGTCCCCTTCTCCCTGGGAGCCATCGAACGCCTTCTCAGTCCTCGAACAAATTCGAACAGAGGATGTGAGAGAATTAGACAGAAATCACTGAGGCAAAATGCCTTGGGAAGGAATGCGGGGCGTGTTAGTTATTTATAGCGAGCGAGAGATACAGATGGACGGCTGGATGTGTGCGAAGAAGGAGCGGCGGAGCGGAGAAATTGAAATATTCGGGGCAGTCAATGCGTGGTTTGACCGCCTGTAGCCGCCTCCTACGTTGGGATTCCGTGCCGTTATTGATCAATTGGCACCCATAACGTCACCCGCTTCAGCTGTGGCTGTGTGCGGTGGATAAATAAATGGGTCTATTTCATAAATTATTTAATGAATGAGACTGGAATTTTTATTTTTATTTTTATTTTATTTTTTTTCAAAAAAAAAAAGACGCAAGAGCCAGCCTAATTATATTAACTTGTTCGGTAAGAGTGGCGTGATGGAGCCGAAAAATAATTTTTGGTGTTATATGGTGAATGAAATATAATATATAAAATTAGATGAGTGCATTTTCATCTCCATTTTTTCCCGATGGGTTCAAATAATTAAATAAATTTTTGAATGGACATAATATACATTTTTAATTGATTTATCATATAGTATATATTTTTTAAAATAAATTCAATTATATTGAGATCTATATTGATGGAATTTTAATTTGAATATCTTGATCTAAAAATTTTACAAAGATAAAGAAAAAAATTATGCTAATATATCATGAAGTAATTTGTGTAATGGTGGGCTTGGCACTCTTGGATTTATGTCAAGATTAGTTCTATTTATGATACAGATGGAAGCATTAATATTAGTGTAAATGTGAAGAACTTTAAGACTATATCGATTGAAATTGTGTTGGGATAATTTTTAGTCTATATTTTTTTTTTAAGTATTTGAATATCTTTATATAGATTGTATTAGGATTATTACATGCTAAAAATTTACTGTAATAGAGTATTTAATATTTTTGTTTTCTAAAAATATTTATCATATATATACAGAAGTCTGTAAAGGGCATTAGAAATGTTTATGTGAAAAACTCAAAAAGAAGAAAAATCAGTCATGTGATGATTGCAACGATTGCTAATTGTGGTTGTCAGCGGTAATTGCAATATATGCAATAGAGTTTTTTAGCACTTTCAATTCTCACACATTCCTTTTTGCATAAATGAAATCATATTTATAGTATTTCTGAGAGGTCATTTAATAAAGTTGACCAAAATCTAAAATATTCAATTGAATGATCCATATAGATCTTCTTGATCATATATTTTTTTTATCTAACATTTAAGTACTTTAATGATGTCCGAAATAAATGGTCTTCAATCTCATTGGATTTATCTCATTAAGTTGTTTGATTTGAATATAAGCAACAAGATTGGGAGATAGTTTGGTTCTTATAATATTATGGAGATTTTAAATATATTTCAAAGTTCTTAATTTATGTGCATTTGAACTCAGATCAAATCATTTGTGGTGTTGATATGTTCATCTCATCGAAGTATTCAATTTGATTACAAGTTTATTGAAGTCGGAGTTCGAATGATCTTTAATTTAATTCTTGTTGAAGTTTTTCAATTCACATATTACCTAAAGTTTCGTGCAAAACCTAATCGAACAACCATGTTCAAGAGATCGTCGTCAAGCGATAGCAATCCAAAGACCAGTCTTATGATAATATTATTCGAAGCCAGTCAGCCAAACGTTATTAATGACCACGGGCTAAAATCCAAAATAAATATGGCATTAAAAAAAGATGCTAATGATGAAACAAGCTCCAACAAATCATAATCATCTAAAGAAAGCATAGAGCATCCAATAACAATCAATATAACAAACCCTAATAAGAAATTGATTTGTAAAATAAGAAGTAAATGCCAACTTGGGATGCTTCAAGTAATTGAGGATGTCATAAAACAAGCTTTGATTTTTAATTCTTTATAAAATATTTTTAAGTCTATTGGAAGTAGATCTCTCAATTTAATAATTCATTTCTAAATAAATATTTAAAAATTATAAAGAAATTAGCAATTTGCAAGTTTATTGGTTTATGTTATTAACAATAAATTTGTTTTACCGTCAACAAATCCTATTGGATCCTTACCTGTATAGAACCGGTCAACAAATCCATAGGAGAAATATTTTATATATGTTTTCTTATGTAAGTTTAAATTTCATTTTTTTCTTTAAATGTCTCTATTAACAAGTTGTTAATAACAACCATGCAATAGTGTTATGATTATGGCCTCTTCGTTTGACACAATTTTTTACTATTCTTAAAAAATTTCTGTAATAAAAAGCTGCTCTGCATTATAAGGGTAGAATATTATTAATTGGAAAATTTTTGAATCTTTGGATTTTCTTTAATACATGAATAATTAATTAAAAATATTTTATTCTATAGAAAATTATTTTGGTAAGAAAATAATCATAATATTCTAAAATAATTTTTTCTTATGAAAATTTTGAAATAAAAGGAAAGTTAGATAGAAGTAAAGAGGAGAGGGTGTTTCTAGTTATTATCGTAGACTTTGAAGAAAAATGAAAAATAAGAAGTAATCATAGCTAAAAATAATTAGAAATTAATAAGTATGCTCGAATCAAAGTTGTTAAGGAGGAGAAATTATTTTGTGCAGAGTCTGGACGGGAAAAATAGCATGGATTGTAAGTGTTGTACAAAAAATGGATACACATTATGTACTAATTTATACACAATATGTACACTCACATATCTGAACGATTCTTCGCGTCTGATCTCTGCATAGAATAATTTCTCCAATAAGGAGAAATGGAATTTTCAGAATTTTAGTATGGGGATTTATTTAGGTATTTTTGTCGTGAGTGAAGGGAATTTCCAGAATTAGAAATAGAATTCGGAGAAACTAACGAATTCTTACAAGGCTAAGAAGATTTTTCAAAATGTTGGGTATGCATAGGATTATTTTAATTTTTTCTTCTTTTTTTATAAAAAAAATCTATTAATTTAGTGTATTTTTAAAAATAAATTAAATTATTTTTAAAGCAACTAAAAAATAAATTTTAGTAACTTTGAATATTAAAAAAAAAACTATTATTCCGAACCGCCGCCACAATGTCAGAAGTTCACTAGGATCCAATATTGCCGCCAGAGACCACCGTTGATCTACATGCTTTAATAATGCATAGATAATTAGAAATTGCGTATCTCTATATTACAATAAAAAATGCTTTTATAATTTCACCAATAGAAACTTTTCATCTTTTTTCTAACAAAAAGAAAAATCCCAAACTCTAATTTAGGCTCAATTTTAGATTCTTGTAGTTCTATTGCAAAGATGATTATAAAGTTCCTGTTAAAAAAAAAATTTCAAAAGTTGTTGTAGAAAGCAGTTACATAGCATAAGAATTTCTTAAAAGTAACAGCAGTTGTCAAATAGAAATTGTCGTTGCGATCTGAAAACGAAGCAGTAAGAAAGTTGTCTCAAATGAAACCTTAATATAATATAATATTTTTATTAGGATGATTGCAGCTTTTTGTAAAAGTGTTACAAGCAAAATGACTTTTTAAAAGCCATTATAAAAAGTAGATTATTAGCATAAATTTTTTAAAAGTAATAGGAAACTAGCCATAATAAAATGCATTTGTAGGATGAAAATATAGCAAAAAGAAAATTGTTCAAAATAGATATTAATGTTTCGTTTGGGATGACATTCTTACTGCTTCTTAAAGCAGGTTTTTTGTAAAAAAAAAATTAATTTTTTTTACTAAAAAATTGCTTTAAGAAACAATAAGAAAGCCGTCCCAAACGAAGCCTAAATCTCATATAAAGCTTGTTTAAATTAGGCTTCTATGCTAGGAATTTAAGGCTTCGTTTGGAACAGCTTTCTTGATGCTTTATAAAATACCTTTCTAGTATAAAAAATTTTAACTAGAAAGTTATTTCATAAAACAATAAAAAAATTGTTCTAAATGAAGTCTAAGAGAAGATAAGGTAATGTTTTGATTATTAATCTAAATTTTCTTTGCTTATCTAACTGCCACAGAAGCAAAAGCATCATCAACTATTCTTAGATTGAACAACTCTCTTAAGTCTTAACTATGTATTGATTTGATTGTGTGGTTTGCAGAAAGTGGAAGAGAGGAGAAGATGGTAATGAATATGTTAGAAATGTACTCTTGAATTAAGAATTATATGTGAGAAAAAAAATAGTTGAGAAATTCAGAGAGAAAAAAATTTAGAAGGAAATTTTAAGATTTCGATTTCATTTGTGGTAATTTTTTACTGTTTTTTATAGCAATTTTTTAGTATAAAAATTTTAACTTTTATACTTACAAAATTATTTTAGAAAATAATAAAAAAGTCAAACGAAAGTGACACCAAAAACTGCCGGATTTTTTTTTTTTTTTTGATGACAAGGAATTGTCCGCTGTCACAACCGACTTCGTCGAGCGCATGTGGCGGTCCCAAACCCATAGCCGGCGCTTTGGAGCCCCAACTAATGGGCCGACTGCCGCTCGAGAGAATCGAACTCGGAATGGGAGGTTTTCAATCGAACACACCCACCAACCGAGCTAAGCATCGGTGGGTAAAACTGCCAGTCTAAATATCCCAAAAAAATTATGGCACCTCTTAACAAACCGCCAGCCTACACGTGGCACAAAAGTGACACGAAAATGTATAAATATTCTTAATATTATTTTTTGGGTAAACTTTTTTATAATTTTTTGGGTAAACTTCTTAATATTATTAAAACGAAAAAAATCTTTTTAAAAATGCCGATGAACAACTGTTTGTTTCCATCTACTGAAAGCCGCTCAACAGCCGACGCCGACCAAACGCGTCCTACGTGTCATACACTACTAACGCCACCCAAATTCGAACCGCCGTTGAAAACGAAACGGAGCGTAGTCGGCGGTTCCGTTCCATGTGGGCCCCCATTTTCGGTGGGCGGCGGGCCCCATGTGCCGCACGCTACACGCGGCCGTGAAGCAGCCATTTGGGGCCCACCACCACGTCTCCCGGTTGCCTCAACTTTCCAGCACCTAAATCCGACCGTCCTTTCGTACGCGTGACGGCGGACGACGGCGACGACCGTCGTCGTCTC